GCTCCGGCCAAGGAGGGACCCTTCCGTTGGGGAGCATGGGCGGGCCCGGAGACCGCAATAGCTGCTTGTGCTAAGATAGGGGTCCACTGTGGGTGCCAAGACAGCACCCCCGTCTGCACGGGGCTCTGCCCACTCACGTTAGCCCTGTCCTGGCTCACCCCTGCGGCCTGAGTAGTGGTGATGCCTCCTAGGCAGGGGCAGGGCCTTGGGAAGAAAGAGGGTGTCTCACCAGAGAGACGGGAGGGTGAACAGGGTCACAGAACTCGGAAACAGCCCACAGGTTGGGCATGCCAAGTGGTTTATCACCGCTGGGAACGGAGTTTGAATTTAATCATAGGGGCAGTAGGGATAAGTTCTGAGGAAGAGAAGACCATGGCCATATTTGGCTTCCAGAAAGTTCTCCCTGGCAATGACATGGAGAGACGGGCTTGGGAGTAGGAGTCCAGGAGAGGGCTGCGACAGAGGCAGAGAGAACGGATGAGAGATGGCCCAGGGAGCAGCAGCTAAGAGGAGGGGACAGAGAACACATCTGGGAGACAGATGGTAGGAGGTGGTGGCTGATGGAGGAGGCTGGGATGGCTCCCAGATTCCCAGCTGGGCGAATGGCTGGCGGTGTTGCCTGTGGAGACCTGAGAAAGATGAGCCATGGCTGAGTTTACTCGGTCACGAGAGTAGATGGGGCACATCTCTTCCCAACTCTGTGTTCAGTGGCACCAGGTTGGTAGCTTGAAATGAACATCGATAGGAATATGTAGCCACAGCACTGGGCCAACGCATGAATCAGGGCTCCCAGGAGAGCTGGTTGCTGCACACCAGCACCCGCTGGGTGCGGGACCCATGCTGGCCTCGGGACCTGTGAGGCTGGAGGGGTTGGGACACTGTAGTGAGGATGGAGCTCGATAAAGTGGGGCAGAATCAGGAGAGGCCCTCCCGCAGGGGAGGCAGAGAAGCCTGTGGGGCTGTGGGAGCGGGCACTGGTCAGGAGCGAGGAGTGGGGGTTCTCCTGGGAGTCCCATCTCCTCTGCAGTGGCGGGTGGGCACCTGTCAGGGCAGGAGAAGGTGTGAAGTAGCTGTGACGCTGGGGAAAGGAGAGGTCAGGTCAGGCAAAGGTCTGGGCGGCCAAGGCCAGCGCTGTGGCTGGAGACCCCGGGCCCTCCGTGCCCCACGCGAGAAGGCCAGGGCGTTGTGGGCAGAGTGGGTGAGGGAGGGGCAAAGCCTGAGGGGATGAGATGCCCGACAAGGAGGACAGGCTGCAGCCTTGATGAGCCAGGACAGGGCTAACGTGAGTGGGCAGAGCCCCGTGCAGACGGGGGTGCTGTCTCCGGAGATGACGGGTCCAGGTCGGCCAGGGAGGCAGCTGGAGGCGAGCAGGCTGGAGGCCCCTCGGCCATGGCAGCACGAGGGGGGGCAGCA